TCACTCCTAACTGATTTTAATGAAAAAGTCCATATTTTTGTTAGAGGATCAATCACTTAATTCTTATGTTACTCCAGAAGCCTCGGATCAGGGGTGGCCAACCTGAGCTTGAGAAGGAGCCAGAATTTACCAATGTACATTGCCAAAGAGCCACAGTAATATGTCAGCAGCCCCTCATCAGCTCCCCACCCGCAGCGCCTCCCGCACACGGGTAGCCCTCCCTCCCCGCACCTCCCAGTCAGCTGTTTCGCCGCATGCAGGAGGCTGTAGGGGGAGGAACGAGGGCATGGCAGGCTCAGGGGAGGGGGCGGGAAGGGGTGGAGTGGGGGCAGAGCCTGTGGCAGAGCCAGGGGTTAAGCAGTGAGCACCCCTCGGCACATTGGAAAGTTGGCGCCTGTAGCTCCAGTCGGCAGGGGCGGCTCCAGGCACCAGCGCAGCAAGCACGTGCCTGGGGCGGCAAGCCGCGGGGGGCGGCCTGCCGGTCGCTGTGAGGGCAGCAGTCAGGCGGCCTTTGGCGGCATGCCTGCGGGAGGTCCGCCGGTCCCGCGATTTCAGTGGCAATTCGGCGGCGGGTACGCCGAAGCCGCAGGATCGGCAGATCACCCGCAGAAACGTTGCCAAATCCGCGGACTGCCTGCAGGCAGTCTGCCGAAGGCCGCCTGACTGCCGTGATTGGGGCGGCAAAAACATAGAGCTGCCCCTGCCAGTCAGTGGCTATACAAGGAGCCGCATATTAACTTCTGAAGAGCCGCATGTGGCTCCGGAGCCACAGGTTGGCCACCCCTGCCTTGGATGAATACTATCCAGTCCTGATGACTTGTGGCTCTTTAATTTAGAAATCCCTTTCCTCAGCCTTCCTGCAAGTACACACACCTTAGACTGAGTTTATTGCAGGTCATTTGTGAGAGCCCATTATTAAAATACTACCAGGACATCATTGTTCCTATACAACTAACAATACAATAAGCCATGTGGATCTTACTATTTTACAAAAAACCTGCACTGCATATCACAGCAAGCCACAATTTAAAAGAAAGCTCATCTGAGCTTTGGGTTAATTTTAGAGTACAACAATATTTCTCATTTCTTTGTACTTTTCTTAAAAAAACAATTAATTGCAACATTTTGCAATTCCATTCCTTAATGATGCTACTGTTGTCGAGATAAACAATCACAGCTACGTTTTTTTTTGGAATCACATGAGACAACATGATCTTTTTGGTAAGAAGTTTTTTTTATAAGGAAACAAGTCCTTAGGCTAACCAACACATAAACTGACTGTTGTAAATGTTCAATATAAAAAGTGAAAAAGATACAATTCCACTACATTTTCAAGGCACTGGAACTTCCATTAACATTTACAGGAGTCAAGGTGCAGCTATAACTCTACAAAACTTTTGGAAAGTTAAAGCTAGTGTGGTTTTATTATTACTGTATCACTGTTCTACTGTGGGATAATGTGATTAAAAAGGTAAAATTTGTAATTATATTAAAATATGACTAGAGTTAATGAACCATCTACAAAAGAGATTAGTTTACATTCCCAGACAAAATAAAAAAAAAATCTCCATTAAGATTGCAAGTTAATTCAAAATAACGTCATCCTAATATTGTATTATAAAACAAAAAGCAAAAATTTGAAAGCCATGAAATTCAGAATTAAGTTTCTACAAACAACTTTAACTCTGACCTCGTATCTCTATCCAGGTCTACCTGGATGCTGTTCTATCCAATGTACTACAAAACACTAGATCAGGGGTTGGCAACGTTTGGCACGCGGCTCGCCAGGGCAAGCACCCTAGCGGGCCGGGCCAGTTTATTTACCTGCTGATGCGGCAGGTTCGGCCGATCGCGATCCCCACTGGCCGCGGTTCGCCGTCCCAGGCCAATGGGGGCGGCGGGAAGCCACGGCCAGCACATTCCTCGCCCGCGCCGCTTCTCGCTGCCCCCATTGGCCCGGGACGGCGAACCGTGGCCAGTGGGAGCCACGATCGGCCGAACCTGCCGCATCAGCAGGTAAATAAACTGGCCCGGCCCGCTAGGGTGCTTGCCCTGGCGAGCCGCGTGCCGAATGTTGCCGATCCCTGCACTAGATCTGCTGAACCTTCTACTCTGTCTACACTGCAGAATGCTCATCTATCAGCCACTCCTGCTTTTCTTTGATTCTGCTTCACTTCTGGGAGGGAATTGGGGGAGCAGGGTGGAATCTGAAGCACAGGCTTAGGCAATTTTGAAAATTTTACACAGGTGACTGAGAAGCTTATATCCCATTTTCCAATGTGACTGTCCATGGGACTTAGGCTTCTAAATATGTCTAAGTCACTTTGGAAAATGGGATTTAGGCTCCTCAGTCACTTAGGCACTTTTGAAAATTTGCTTCTTTGTATCCACCAAGAAATTTTCCTTGTTTAACTTTAATATGTTTTTACATAAATGTAGTTAAACCAATGCAAACTCTGTGAGCGCTTTCAGTTTAAGAGTGGCTTATTTTGGTTTAGTAAAAACGGATTCCTTAAGTAATCAAGCTAAACCAAGATAAACATGGCTTAAAAACTGAAATAAAAGTGTCAACACATTCATTTGCATCAGTTTAACTGAATCAGTTTAAAATCTTTCCTTTAGTTAAACTGGTGCAATTTTCTAGTAGCATGAAAAAAATCACAGTGGAGGAGGATTACTGTTAGTATTAATGTAGGAGGGTAGGAGCCACAGAGATGGCTGTGCATTTACCTGTCTAGAGATCTACTGAGTCTGAGGTAAAATTTCAGTTTCATTGAAATTTATCAAGACTGTCCCTCTAGATTAAGACAATCCCAGAAAAGAGGAACCTCTGCTTCCAGGAAAAAGAGAAACTAAATGGGGAGAACTACTTAGATGAATACCATCCAGTCCTGGTGACTTAAGGTATTTTCACCTCCATGAATGACAAGTCACTAATTTACCTCCTAAGGCTTCTGAACAGTAGCAACAGGTGCGAGGGAAGTCGGGCTCTTATTCCCTGTACTCTTTAGGAGTGGTAATTAGAAGGCTTTGGGGCTCCAGATGCAATGCAGCAATAACTGATGGAACCAGGAGATGGGGGAGAAGATATGGTTGCTGGGTGGGAGGGAATCTGAGGGAGTTAATGGAGTGAACCTTGAGGAGTTGTTATAATAGGGAAATAGGACCCAGGGATAGGTTACTGGGGTGTGAGTAGGAGAGCCTGGAGGAGAAGGATGGATACTTGGTTTGAGTGAGAAACAGACCGCAAGCCAGAAAGGGCCAAGGGCAGGGAGCAGTCAGAGGGGAGGCAGAAAAAAGACTGCCAGTCTGTTTCATATGTCACCACAGTGCACCTGAAAGGGGTAATTGTTGGGAAAATGCTGCTCAGTCCCTGCAACAATGATTGGTGTATGAGCTCTTAGCAAGCTGAGAAAATATGTGTGTGTATGTGTGAGGGAGATCCACAAGCATTGTTATTTACTATTTGTATTACTATGGTGCATACAAACCCTAATTCTGAAGCTGGACATCATTGTGCAAGGCACTGTACAAATACAGAACAAAAATATAGTCCCCACCCCAAACAGCTTACAAGCATGACTGTTACTCTCTAAGTATGATACTTAGCAAAATTGTGGCACCCCAAGTGAAATATAAAGAAAGAAAGAAAAGAGAGAAAACAAAGGCACATACACCAGTGACAAATGCACTCACTTACTTTAGGTAAATGTTTCCCTAAGGTCTTAGGTCTTCTGAATTTGAGTCTCATGAGAAAATAGCCTTGCTTAGGTCCTCATGAAAGGTACCTTCTTGGAATTATGGGATATGGCCTGCATGGGCTGTAGACTTATAAGCTTCCACAGCACCACATAATGGCAGAAATGTAGTATTGCAGCCTCCTATGGTGATGAATTGTTTATTTTGTTTTTCTGGTGGTGCCTTTTCTTGGGTGGATAAGCACGTTGTCATCATTTACAGCTGCACCCAAGAGCCCCAGTCAGGGCTCAGGTCCTATTGCTCTAGGCTCTGTACAGATATAACCACTTGCTAGGACAGGCCATTGAAGCTTCAGATAAAAATTGCATTAAAAAAACCCTCCACACAAATATAAATGAAATTCACATTAGCAGGCACATTCCCTGCCTAACAAAACATGGGGCTGTTTTTACCATGTATCTGATCCCCAGCTGCATATTCAGGAGAAGCTGCTCACAACCTCATGTCCCCTCAAGTTTGCCCAGTTCTTTCCTTCTGCTCCCACCAGCCCAGGAGGGCTCTGAGCCCTGTCACCTACCAGTGGAACGTGCTGGAAAATGCCCAAGTATTGTTATTATTTCACACCCCACCTTACTTGAGGGGGAGGAGGGGAAGCCCATAGCACACAGGAGGTGGCCATGCCCTCAGCCCATCTGTGCCTAGAGGAAAAGCCGGCCGGCTTTGTGAGAAGGGCTAACTGCTTTGGGCCCAAGCTGGGAGACTTTAGGCTTGCACCCAGTCTGGGGCGGGAGTCAAAGCAAACGGAATCGGGGGGGCTCGCATCACACCAGCTGCGGAGCAGGAGGGGAGGCAGCGGCTCCCCGGGTTCGCCAGGGCGGGCGGCGCAGAGGGGAGGTGCCCACAGCAGGGGGAGCTGTGCTCCCTTTTAACACCCGGCCTCAGACTCTGCGTCAAGCAGCTGTGGGGCACTTTTCCATAGAAAGAGCGGGCGCGGCCAGGCAGCCCCACGAGCGCCCGTATCCACCCGCTGGGGGGAGGCGAAGGGTTTAGCAAAGAGTAAATGGCGAGTTTGTTAGGCGGGCGGGCCGGGGACTCGAACCCGCTCCTGACAGCCTCGGCGTGTTGCTATTAAGCAGGACCCGGCTACTCCGCCGCTACCGTCACCACCCGCGAGGACCGGAACACTTTGCGCCTTGGCCAATCATGGGCCGGTACCGGCCCCTCTCCCGTCGCAGAGGATTCTGGGACGTGAAGTCTCTCCCGCCCTCCACCAGTGCGAGTCACCAGAGAAGAACTACAACTCCCAGCGTGCCTGGCGCCTGCCGGGATATTGACCTGCTCGCCGGGGCTGCCGCCGTGTTGCCGCCAGCCAGGCCGCGAAGGAAGACGTAAAGGCCGCGGCCTGGGCGCCGATCCCGCAGCCTGAGGGAAGATGAGTTCGGCCAGGGAGACGCAGCCCCGCCACGGCAAGAAGCGAGCGGCCTCCCCCGATGTGAGTCGCGCGGGGGCCGGGCCATGGGAGGCCGGGGGCGATGCGGGGGCGGGAGATTATCCCCTGGCGCCGGGGTAAGGGCGGGGGTGGCTGTTCTCGCCTGGCAGGCGCTGATCGGCTTGTTGTAGGTCAGTGAAATGACCCAGGCTCCGTCCCCCTCTCGAGGCTCTAACGCTGCCTGGTGGCGGGGAGGGACCCGAGGCTTTTCACTGGGCTGAGCCGTCGTGTGTCCCGCTTGAACGGACTCGCCCCTGCTGTGAAGGCCGCCAGCCCCCCCAGGCAGCCGGGGGGAGTAGTCGGTTCAAAGGGGATGTGCCTCCGTGCTGGGAGCGCTGTTTGCTGCATTAACGCCCAGTGCTCGCTGTATAATGGACGTGGTCAGTTGCCACTACTAGCCCAGCCTGCAAGCCGCTGGTCTGGGCTTGGTACCATTCAGTGCTTGTTATGCCTCCTGAAGAGGCCCAAATCTCTGTTCATTTTCAAGATTTTGTTTGATAAGTTGATAGGCGTGAATCTTGATCAAGTTCAAAGGTGGTGTGTTCGTTAACTGTACGATTATTTTTCATTTGTTGGAGCTGAGTTTTCTCTCTTCCTCCCTATGCAAGTTCTTCATGGGTTTATTCTTGCTAGATATGTTATCTCTCTGCAAATGGCTCCAGAAGTCAGAATCCATTCTTTCATTTTAAAAATGTATTCAATGGCTTGTTGATGTTGCAAGATCATCTTTTTATAGTGCCTGTTGACCACCGTTGAGGCTGCATCTAAGTCTGTTTAGTTTATTAAAAGTCCTTCCTGCTCCCTCTCCACGAGAGCCTTTTTTTTTTTTTTAATATAAACAAACCCCATGCCCTTAAAACACTTCTCAAAGTTGACATTATTGAATGAGTGAGTTATGATCATGTCCAGGTCCAGGGGGGGCCCTAGTCATGTATTGAAATTGCATGATTGTAAGTGTTGCATCATAGTGCATTGAAAAAATGCTCAAATTATGTATAACTTGGAATATCTTATTTTAATATAAACAAGCTTTTAGATGAAACTGATCTATTTGTTTTTTTTTAAATAATTTATTACTTTCTATCTTCCAGCAGGGATCGAGCAGCTGGGAGGCAGTAGACTTAGGTAATGAAGAAAGAAAGCAAAAGTTCTTGAGACTTATGGGAGCAGGAAAGGTGAGATTTTGTTAATTATCTATTTAAATCCAAACATTCCGTGTAAATAAAGGGTAGTTGCTATTAGGAAAGGATTTTTAAAATGACAAAACAAATCACTGATCACATTGAAAGTGATTGCATAGTGTTTTCTGTTCTTTTTGGAAGTGAAGATGCGTTAGTGTTATTGATAAGATAGTGCTTGCTTGAAGGTAAAAGTTTTCTTTAAAACATTATACTTACATTCATCTGTGCATCCCTTTGTACATAAGTTTAGTTCTGGCAGGATTTCTGCATTTAACAGTTGTAGTTATAATCTACCGTTATTTCAAGGCCCCAAAGCACTTGCTACATAGTGTCTGTAAAATGTAATATCAGCATATTAGCGTGTTACTCCACAGTTAGCCTGGGTAGCACTGCTTTGCAGTAAAAAAGGGCTCCAACTTCACCTCTGAAAATTACTGATTCTAATTCATTGTTTTTCCAGATTCTTATATCTTTAGATCAGCCTGCAAAATAGTCAGGAACACTTTCTTACCCACCCTTACGAGAATAATCAACAGCCTAATGTTTTACTCACCAAAAAAAACCTCCAAATTTGTTGGCTCCAGACAAGTGAAAGTTTGCTTCAGATGAATGAGATACAAAGGCTAAATATAACAGCAACCAGACTGGAGTAACTCAGTAGCAAACACAATCAGATGGCTTGGAATTTAATTACTTATGCAGGACAAAATCTAAATCCACTTACATGTGTGGACATTGCGTATTGTAAGTTTTGTTTTTCATGTGATTAATGTAGACGGTACCCAGTGATACACACACACCTATCTATCTATCGAGAGACCAATATTGGAGCCTGAATGTTTTCATATGTGCCTAAAATACAGTTTAATGTTGCAATTTTTTTCTTTTATACAGGTGTCAATAACTAGATGGGATGGCTTTTAGTTAAATTGGAGGCAAAAATTAAAATTTGCCTTCCCTTAAAAACCTAATTACTTTTCTCTAATGTTGTATTTCCCTAACCTGGTGGAGTCATTATTCTCTGTCCCTAACAGAGTAACTTAGTGCTCTTGGGGATGGTAGCATGACCCTGGATTAACCTAAGGACTTACATAAACTGCAGGTTGTGCTCCCACAGAGGCTCCTAATGAAACTGAAGATGGTGCTGGCTCTCACATTCAGGGCTGTGGGTTAAGGCACATTAGGCACATCTTTGCTTATCCTGTGTGGGTGTTTCGCTGGAAAAGAACATACAGCCCTATGGAACTATCAATTCAGTCCAGCAGGTGGTCTTCTGTCCAGTAAGGGAATGAGAAGGAAAAGCAAAAAGTAAATAAACAATCAGAAAATAAAGTTGTGTAGGGGAGGATTCTGAGCTGCTAAGTCATTTCTAGGGGAATCAAAGAAAGGTTGAGTTATTACTGTAATTGGCAAAACCTGGGTTGTAACTTGAAACTTTATTGTGCATTATAATACTGGGCTCAGGTGACCTATTTTCCCTCATCCTGCTGCAACTTCAGCGGGGTTATAATCATCCCCTCTGGAGTGACACTGGCAAGTAAAAAGGAAAGGAACAGATTTGGGGGTTGGGAGGGTATCTAGTGTTTCCTCCAATATGATCAGTGGAAGGTAAAAATGAAGCTAGCTTTGTCAACAGATAGTCATTGGCTGGTTAAAGAGCTCATTAATACATGTTCTCTCCCCCCTGAAAAAAAGCTTGTTGATAGTGCGCAGTAGGGTGTGTGTATCCAAGAATTCTAGTATGTAGGTAGAGCTGTCAGAGTTCACAATAAATTGCATTTTCTTTTAGAAAGAACACACTGGCCGCCTTGTTATCGGAGACCACAGATCAACTTCTCATTTCAGAACAGGTCAGTTTAATAGCTGATACAAATTAGAAATCTGTAAACTAACATTGATCTAGGGAGGCAGAGCTGAGTCTTTGTATCTTCACTACTGTTGCAGTGGGGGCTTTCAATTTTGTGACTAAAGCTGAAGAAAACAAGTCAGATTCTGGGAACTGGCATAATCTCATCCTCTCTTACTAGTCAGTATAGTGACTGAAAAAGGCCTAGTTTTGCTGCACATGTCTACTTCCTCCTGCCCAGATTCAGCAAAGCACTTCTGCATGTGCTTAAATTTAAGCACATGCTGAAATGCTTTGCAAAACTGGGGTCCACATATGCTGTCTCCTTTTTTTGACATAGAAGTAAAACAATCTTATTGCTATTAGACAGTGACTGTAGCTGCAGACTGATGGGGTGCAGTGTATTATGCTTCACGCATCATCACCAGTTACACTACCAGCTGATGACCTTTGATGGAGGATGTTGTGCATAAATCAGAATTGGGCTTGACTTTTCAGAGTCCCTGTTGGTTATGTAGTCCTGATAGTCTTTGACTTTATCAAGTTTGAAATTGGACAAAGTTCGTTATAAGAGTTCTGGTAAAAACCTCTCTTAACTGTATAGAATAGGAACTGCCAGACTCCTCTGCATTTTTTTTCTCCAATTTGCCTTGGTAGTAACAACTTCTTAGCTGATCTAGGCCCTGTGGATAAAGCACTGGACTGGGATGTGAGAAACTTGAATTCTATAGCTGGTTCTGTCACTGGCCTGTTGGGTGACCTTGAGCAAGTGACTGATGAGACTTACCTCCTTTGTAAAGTACTTTACAAAGATAGATGGATATCTGAAAGAGTTAAGTACTATTATTGATCACTAGCAGGAAGTTGTGATTAGGTTTTGACAAGAGGCCTGCTCCTTGCTAAAAGCCCAAAGCAACCAACTTCCTCTGTTCGTATGTAAAGTAATCTTCCTTTTCTCCTCTCCTCCTGTTTCCCACAGTTGGCAGTCCTTTCCTCCTTCAATAATAAAAACGTATATAGTTACCTTCAAAGTACTGTACAAACACTAATTCTCACAGCAAGGATAAGTAATTCTCTCTCATTTTACAAGGGAGGAAGTCAGTGGCAGATGGGAGTAGAACTAGGAGTCCCTAGCTTCTCTCTCGCAGTAAACTAGGCCAAGGGTTCTTCTACATTTTTCATAATGTAGCCTGTACCTGGATAGATGTAATAACTTATTAAAATAAGCAGCAGGATAGCCTATGTGAAAGCATCTATTTAATAGACATAAGAAAGAGCTAATTTTCAAATTGCTTCCCATGGCTGGTGAAAAGAAAGCTAAGCAGCTTCTGTTTTATGCTGTTAAGAATTCAAATGTGTGAGATGAAGTGGCCCAAGACACAGGTAGTTCATCTAAAATGTAGCAAGTTAAGTCCAGTAGTGAACTTCTGAATTACTGCTGTGTATGTGTGTGCTACTTCATTTTAACCATTGGTTTGCAGTGCCTTGATTTGCCAGTGTAGAGACTGCTTGCTGCACAAATGAATATCTTGAAGCTCCTGCTCTAATATAACATTTTCATCTTGCTATGAAAAATGGCAATAGTGGCAGGATGGGGTAATGTTAAAAATGAACTGTTGTTTTAGTGTAGACACGTGGTTGATTTTACAAGGTAGTATTACATTCTTGTAAACCCTGTTTATAGTACTACCCATGGTACAATATTGAGCCTGTGGCGAACTTGATAATTTCATTCCACCTTTACTACAATATAAGAGTATTTTACCTGCCTGTTGAAAAATTAATTGCTCCAGGCAAAGATAACTTTACAAGGGTGATGGTGTATTCACTATGCAGTATATAGTCAACCCAATAAATTGCATTAAAAATATTTTCATACAGTGCTAAATCCTAAAGATCTGGTAATTTTGTGTAATCAGATGTTTTTATTAATTTGACTGAACCATAACCAAGTACACTGGACATGCAGGGGAAGAAGACAAGAAAATGAATGAAGACCTAGAGTCTCAGTTCCAGCAAAGCATGGACAGCACTATGTCTGGAAGAAATCGACGACACTGTGGACTTGGTTTCAGTGAGGTAGTAGTTTACTTACTCTTATTGACGCAGACAGGCTTGCTCCAGTGGGCAAAGAGAATGAATGACAAACATCCCATGGCCATTTTTTTACAACATGTCAAATTTACTCTATCCCAGAGTGCCCCTATAAGTTTACCAAGTACAAATCTACAGGAGCCAAGAGCTTCCTGTGCTTGGACACAGAGGTACCAGTGAGAATTCTTGAACACCTGAAAACATTCATACTCTACAGTATGTACAGCTAGATCATGTTAAGCTCCTCAGAGATGTAACATAGCAGGTGACTTGACAGTACATAGCAGCTCTATCCAACAATTTAGCATAGGAAGTGAAGAATATTTTATTCAGTTGACTGCCAGGGGAATTTAAATAGAACAGGAACCAAAATAATTATGGGACTCACACCTGCTGTGGAATGACTACAATAGTTAAGGCTTTTTACATCTTCCAAAAACCAGCACCCACATGAGAGTAGCACAATGCCTTAAGACAAGCTAGGGGTATCCATTCAGTGCTAACTCAGAGGAGTGCCCTCCCAATTGCTAGCCCCATTTCCTGAGATTCCCTAGGAAAGGTTGGGGGATGCTTCCTCTTCATGTACTGACCCAGATTAAACTGCTTTAGCTCAAAGAGGTGCAGTCGGAGCCTGAGGTGCTATGATTGCATGCTCCAGTTATAATTTTGTTGTGTAGTCCTAATGCGTGAGGAGGGGTGGGGAGAAGGAAATCTGGAAGAGGTAGGAAATGACTATTGGACACAGCTGAAATCTTCAAATGATCCTATCTCTCCTCAGTCATATAGTTATGAGGCAGTCTCAAGGGAGGAAAGGATAGGGCCACCACTGTCTGGAGGAGACACAGAAAAGTGAAGGAAGATAAAATAAAATTATGAAACTATCGTACCTCTTTGAAGCCTCGAAACAAGATATTTGAGCATGAGGTTGAAATATCAGTGAATGTTTACTCTTGGTCAGAGCTAATACTGATAATTGTAGAAAACTTTCTGAGGTTGCTAGACTTGAGTTAAAGAACCTGTGCCACACTAGCAAACTTACTATTCCAAACACACATGCACTTTTTCCCTTAGAAAGCCATTTTTGTGTAAATAGAAGCTATACCT